CAACGTAAATGTAAAAGCGCATTCTAAAAACGTAAACGCGAAAGAGAACCAAGCTGAAAAGAGCGAAAAAAAAAGGTTCAAAGAATAAGTCTCAAGGTGAATTGAAAGTGAATCACGACAAAACGAAACAACAACATGATGAAAAGAATTTTAACCACAAAGATGAGAAATTGAAACAGAATGAAAAGAATAAGCAACACGGATCAAAGAAACAGGAAGAGGGAGAAATTATTAATAAAGATGGACACAAGAAATACAAAGTAAAAGAAGAAACTTATGGCACTGAGAATGAGAAACACTTAAATAAGCATTTGAAACAAGATAAATACAACGAGGAACATGACAAAACGAACAAGAAGAATAACAACGCGCAAGCTAAATTCTCAGATGAAAACGAGAAATCGAAAGAAAAGCATGCGAAAGTTACTAATAAGAAAGTGAAGAGCGATGACAAGAAAGTCAAAGCCAGTTTAAAGAAAGATAAAAAGGTTGAAAAGAAACAGAAAGTTCAAGAAAAGCAAAAGAAACATCAAGAAGTGAAAGGAAAAAAGGTTAAATATTAAGAAAGAGAAAGAAAGAAGATAAATATTGTAAAGAAGCAAAAATACCATAAATTGATTAATTTGTAGCCTTGGTCAATATTTCATAATAATGAATTTTAATTTGTGAGATCTCAATAGAATTTTTAAATATTATTTAATATTATCTAATTATAGACCTATACCATTATATTACTCTTATGTGCCGGTAATTTAATGTTTCTAATCTCATAATTAATAGATATCGTATAATCAATAAAATTTCATATAACAGTTCCTTTAATCAGTGACATTTTAAACAAATGATAACATTATTAAGATTCTGTTCCAATTTTTAAAAGTCATATCCAGTGTGCGAAATTCAATGTTCTCACTATTCTCAGAGAACATCGAAATTTTTTTGAGAATTCTCATATTTGAGAATATTTTTATTAAATATTATGTTCTCTTGAGAACATAATTTTGTAAATAGTATACTCATAAGAACATAATTATTTGCTTATTGGCGTAGTATCTAAATAATATAATTTAGGATATTATACCATGTACAGGTGCAACGAATATAACTTACTGCCAAGAAGTTAAGTAATTTATCACTTTTTTATCTGATTAGATGATTTATCCTTGTAAGTTTGACTTGGAATTTCTATATTTAGCCACTTTTTTCTATATTAACACATGTGCAATAAAAAAAAAAAAAAGTAACTATAATCTTTTTTGATTCTTTGATCATTGATTTAAAGCACTATTTATGAGATGCCGTGAACGAAGTCACAAGGCATCCATTTGTCACGAGTCGTATGAGAGATTTGTAAGTATAATGTATTGGGTGATTAGTATCGATTTGATTGATTGAGAGATGGTAAATATAAGATCATAGTTAAGGATTAGAATCGTTTTAGTAGACTAAAAAAATTTCATAAAAAGCTACTATGTTTAATCAACCCCCCTAGCATAACCACCACGATCAGTTATTTAAAATCTGTGATTTTACTTAATCGGATCCCGTAACCCGACAGGTTAACGGCATGCAAAAATATCATTATATAAAAACTTTAATATAAAATTTTTATCTTGATAAGCAATTATTATCTAACTTTACACACTATATCGTAAATTTTTATTGCGTCAAGTGATTATTCGAAATTTATTTAGTAAATTTTTATTACCTAACTTACATATAGGGATGGGTTCGACTACGAACCCATCCCTATTTACATACTATATCATAAAATCTGAGTTTACCAATAAGAAGTATTTTATTTCGTGTGTTCCTGGTTTCTGGAATGTTTTTCACTTGGTTCAGATTCTTTATGTCGCCTATCATCTTTTGAATTGGCGTAAAATTTGGTTCAATATCTTTCAACCATTTTTTTTGTTGCGGAAGGTTATAAGACTTTTCAAGAAGGTTAAGCACCTATATCAGAATAGTATCGATATCAAATTTAGATAATTTATTTATTATCCTGTATAATTAATTTTATAAAAACAATAAATAGGTTATACTTCATAAAGAGTTTTTTGTATTGATTTATAATTTCATATTCGCTTTCTTCTTCACTTGATTCGTCATCTTCAACATTTTCGTTTTTGTCAAGTAATCATTATAGGAAGTTGTGCATTATCAGGTCGTAATATAGGTAGCATTATGAATAAATTTTAAAAACTATTATAATTGCATTAGGTTCCATTCTTGCACTCTCATCTATATTATAATCGGATTCTATTAATTGGATTTTATGAAATATTTGGCAAGAAAAAAAACTTTTAAATGACACTTGTTATTAAGTTACAATATAAACAGACATCGTCATTAATAACTCATTATTAATTATAACCGATATATTGCATAATTAAAATTTTCGGTATATAATTAATTTTAACACCGTACGTAACTGATCGTGGTGGTTATGCTAGGTTCGTGTGTTTAATCTACTAAACCGATTCCAATCCCTAGTCATAGTAGATGGTTATTTAAGAGAAGAAAAATAGAAATGTGTTTTTTTCTCTTTGTCTTTGCTGCTCGACGCAAGTCTAGCTTCGTCATTATCGCCATCCACTCACCGCCAGGCGAAGTTGGTGCTCTATATTGGGGTATTTAGTAGTTATTGGTATGATCGATAGCCCGGGTGGACAACCCGGATGCCGAAGGCAAGTACTTTGATAGCCAGACTGAACAGCTCGAATATAAAGAAAAGGGAAATAAAATATGATAGATTTGTGATGCTAAGAATCAGCTGTAGACCACGTGAGCAGCGAGACGAGATCCCATATAGTGTTTTCCGTATCTGTATCTTGTTTTTGTACTCTGATGATCGAGAACAACACCGGATCGATTTTCAGATCACATGATTTTCCGTCGTCAATTGACCAATAAAAAATCAGAATCAGGTGTTACGTAAAGAAATTCAAACACATTTATCTCAAAATTTAGACTGATAAATCGATCTTTTACTTTAACAAAAAAATTTCTCGTACAATTTAACTACACAATAGCTCTTTCTGACCATAATTATGCCTAAATCAAAATATAAATTATTTTTTTGTTCGAAAACTATTGTGCAAACTCGTATGACAGATTTTTTCTTGTTTTTTGTACTTTATTACATAAGCACAACAATCTCGAATTAAAATTAATTTGGCCAATAATGACTTTTAAATCATGATTATAACATCGATATTGGATAAATAAGACATCCCAAATCTGACAGGTTTATGCGGCACAGATTCATAGGCAGACATTCGTATGATTGGCAGTTTAAATCAATTTAATTTTACATTATTTATAAAGTTTAAAGTACTTTTTAAAAAAAATAAAACTACTCAGAATAAACAAAAAAGAAGTATGTAGAAAGTTTTATTAGGGTTGTAGGACTCCGCTATTAAAAATAATCAAAATTCTT